AGTCACGATGGCGGGATGCAGTCTAAAGGTCCATAACAAAGAAGAGAAGATTTAGGCAGAGTTTTACTACCTACTTCAAATGGCCATTTCTGGCTTATTAGCTGGCCTCAGCCAGTCATACCGAACCCCGAAGTGTGGAACGCCTGGGACTCGATCCCGCGACCTGTTAGTTAGAAGATCAACGCCTCTAAGCACTGCGTCATGGGCTCGTTGTCCTGCCGGTCGCGATCAAGAATGGACAATGGTAGACGGGCGCTCACCGATCGTTTCTAAGGCACAACGGGACAAGTTAGTTCCGTAAAAACTATCGGTGAGCGCCCCTCTACCATTGCGCATTCCCGATCGCGATCGACAGGACAACGAGCCCGTGGCTCAGCGTTTAGAGGCGTTGGACTTCTAACTAACAGGTCGCGAGTTCGGGCCTCGGGTGTCCCACACTTCGGGGTTGGATGTGACTGACTGATGACGGCTAAAAAGCCAGAAATAGCCATTCCAGTCCTGGTTGTCTTTGTCGGTAATGCTATTCCGTCTATATCATGCGCCGCTTTGCGGCTAATGGTTGGGCTCGAGAGAGGGCCCGTAAGCCGCAAAAGGACGAGTGAGTTCCGTAAAAACAATCAGTGAGTTAAGGTTCTAGACGCAAACCCCGTGTTAAAACATACTACTCGGCCACATAAGTGAACGCCACCACCACTTGACCTTGAAAGTTGTCAATCCCAATCGAAAGTGCGAGGCAATGATTCAAAGACGAATTGAACCCGGGTCCAAAATTCAAGCCTTTTCGGCCTGCATTCGAAGTATGCCATGATGACGATGGCAAATAAACCAGAAATGGTTACCCGAGTCTCTTCCCTCCCCCCCCCTCGATTTGCTTAAATTATTTACTACTTTGGGTCTGAGGCCAGTACTTAAATTGTAACACGGTCGGGAAAAAACGTGGAAGAATACATCACACCGAAGGTACGTCTTATGACGATAATTCTGACGCTTTTGACTTACTTGGAAATCCAGGAAGTCAGGTATTCTACGACGTTAGGCATCCGGCTAAAAAGGCAATACAATATGAATTCGGACGGACGGAAGAAAATTCGGCATAAAAACAAGCAAGCGTTCAGTTTACTTACAAGAAGTTTCGGATCAGGGGAATCTCAAAAAAGTCATCCTTAATTGGGAGAAAAGGAAGCAGACCGAGATAGTACGTGAACACTATCCAAAGCACCTCTTTGATGGGAAAGAAGGTGGGAATGCGGGGGTTCTCACTGTGGCATTTTTTGTTCACAAGGTCAGAGAAACTGCCCCATACGGTAATGTCCTCTCTCTTAAATTCCTTGACCATTTCCGAAATCTAAAACGGGTCGAAGGGAAGGTGGTGGGGGACAGGAGACGGAAGACGATGGATGAAGGCACTACCAATTGCAGAAGAAATTAGGCAGTAGCCCCTAGGTATGGTTTCTGGTGTCTTCCATACGTGTTCTAATTCATCATCAGAAGACGATAATATTTCCCAATTTCACTGTCTTAGATACAATGCCATCGAATAGATAGTCAATTGTCCGAGACAGCTCTGTTGTTGCAGACAAATGATAAACGAAACTTGCCACCCGTTTATATCATGTGCGCTCAGTCAGTTGTGGACTTACCTACGCCGAAGGCACCTATATAACGTCCGACGCGGGGACAGGAGGCTTGCCTGACGGTAAGTTCAGGCGATATCTGAATGTCAGAACTTTCGAGACTCAAGGGCCGTTTTGCAGTCGCCCACTGAAGTTATGCACATCCCAGTCAAGCCCTCTTTTATGGTGGTGGTGGTGGTGGT